AAGATACAATAACATCTTACTGTATCAGGCACCAACAAAAATAAAAATTAGAACTTGATGTGATTTCCTACCTCCTACTGTGTAAGACTGCAGCATTTCTAGATCACTGTTGGTTTCCACACATTACTTGAAAACCAGCTAATACTGGCTTCCCTGGAACAGAAACTGCCAGGCTGAAACAGTGTCACTGGCTAACCAGTTAGCGCCTAAAGTGATCCTTGTGATGTCTAAGTACTGAAAAACTCAGCCTTTCAAAGGCTCCATCTAGCTGCTTGAAATCAAATGCTTCACTAAATACATTTGTGTAATCCATAAAACAGACCCTTTCATGCTAGCACAGAATCAAACCCATTAAGTATAATACCAAAATACTCAAAATTTGGAGGTTTTGGTTGACCTCAAAAGAAAACAATTATTTGAGCTTACGTCTATCATTCAAATTGCAGATATTGCAGACTGAAACATAATTTTATACTGTGAGAAAATGTGAACTGGTTAATTAGACATTCAATTAGTGTCTACCTTTGTGTATTTAAGGACCAAGGGTAAACATTGCTTCAGAAGACAGTACAAAACTCCAAAATTCAACACCAAATTTTGACTAAGTCGATTATAAGATGCACTATAGATAGTGTTCATCACCAAATAGGTTAAGGTTTAAGTGAAAAATGTAGTTATTTTATTTAAGTAATAGATACCACTGCATAATATACACCAATAATGTTATTTCGTTTAGAGAAAGAAAAACCATCATAGCTTAAAAAAAATAGCAGTTTCCCATTGTATTTCCTTCAGTAATTATGTCTCCTAAAAAAAGAAAAAAAAAAAAAGCTAAGGGTGGTATTATGAAGGTTTTATGTTGTTTGAAATAAAAATTACAGTTCTAACCCCATATTACTTGGAGAAAAAAAAAATCTTAGGTAACCAGGAGTTTGGCATGTTTACCTTGAGAAGAGTTATTTCGGCTTTTTATAATTCAAAGAAATTACAGTTCTTGGGTTTGCATAACAACAATATACCTGCTGGATGCTTTTTAGCTGCACTTCTAGAAATAAAAAATTCCAAAACACTAAAATGATCTCAGAGCTCTTGAAGATTTATTGCAATCTGTTCTCAAGGGTGCTGATCCAGCTTTCAAATTCACAAAAAATGTCAGGTTGCCCAAATGAGAGCACAACTGGATACTAAAGAGATACACTTGTACAGAAGAATAGATGTATGGATACAGGCAGCAGGATTATTCATTGAGATTATTAGCACACAAATAGAACTTGTTGGATTGGATGCTTGAAATGTAAAGTGGGTCAATACTTCAGTCAGACAGAAATGAGTGGGTGCTGATTCTGAATATTCTGTCCTAGCCAATTTTAGGCACATACCTCCTGTTCATATTTTAGAAAGATGGAAAAAAAAACAACAGCGAAGCTTCATCACAGAAATAATTCATATTTAGAATTCTTGTTACATTCCAAGTTAATGTGGAAAAAAAAAAAAGTATCTAAAAAAAAATCAGGTAGTGTCGTTGTATGTGTTGCCACGAAAATCCCAGAAAAGAGGCATTTCTAAAGGGCATTCCTCAAATCTAAACTCGTTGTCTAACCACAGTATTGTCAGATGCCAACAATCTCTTACAAGTCTAAGTTTTCTATAAGCTTCTTTCTAAAACCAGAAGAAAAAAGAAAAGAAACCGACAACAAAAACTACACAAAACAGGATAAGGATGCTCATGAAGCCTGACAGAATATAAGGGGTCAATTTAAGACCTTACTGTCAGCACTAACAACACCTTCATGCCCTGGGGCATTTTGAAGCTGTGTTATAGGTTCACAGCGATCTTACCTGCAAAAATCTTGGGCACCTGAAAGATGAAATGGCAGAGAAGTAACAGTTTTGAACAATCATGACTTGGGGATCTATATTCAAAAGGGAAAATGAGGCTGCAGTATTGAATTTGTTTTGCAACCTGTCAAGTCTCAAAACTGACAGTCTCAGATGTACACAGTAATTCCTGCCCACCTTCCTTCCCACCTGTAACCCATAAATAAGAATTTACCTTGTAAAATGTTTGGCATCCAGTGAATCTGGGCTGAGTAACCACTCATAGCTCAGTGGATAGGGCTTCCTACTGTGTGTTAAGAGATACAAGTAGTCAGTAGAAGACCAATGCCTGCTGAGTCAGCTTAAGCTCATTAATTCTTTCTCCAGGCTACTCCTCACATTTCTTTATAGAGAAGGAAACAACTTTCTAACCAAGGCAGAGCCCAAGGTCTTCCTGCATCTCATGTCTCAGCACTTGAACGCTTCTCTTTCACAGAAATTAGGAATATAATTCAAGTGTCAAACCACACAAAACTTCAGCAAAGATGTTCTTAAGTAGGTACTGCTGGTTAATGAACTACAAAAATCCCTAACCACTGTAAGAGAAGGCCACAAATACAGGACAGCATGGAGAAAAGAGACACAACCAGGATACTGGAACACAATGACCTACTAGCAAGAGCAACTACTGCTCTTAAATGTAATGCAGGGGAATTGTACTTCACTTTCAGTACACCACCAACTGTTCCATCCATCAGCATTCTGAGGCTTTGTAATTGTCTAAAATCGATGGTGTAAAGTCCCCCTGATCACCGATTATTCATTAGGCTGGTATGAAATACCATCTGTTTATGCATCACTATCCCTGCCCTCATCTCAGAAAGCTCACAGGTCCTCTCTCCACGTCCTTTTTTCCTGTGACTGCCCTCAGCTACCCTGTTTCATTTCATGCACTCTCTAAAATGTTGACTTGAAGCATATATTGAGCAATTACAGTCACAACCTGCTCAGCAGATAACACTGGAGAAAACTGAACCCAAGTCCACTCTGTTCTGAGTTGGTATCAGAAAATTAGTACTCCCTGAAAAAAAAGATGGCTGTCATCCATGACAAGTGACAGTTAATTAGCATCCAAACCAGAAGCAATATAAAAAAATGCTAGCTGTTCCTGGATGAAAGAAAAAGCACAGATCTCCTTTTGCAACATGTCAGAACTTTTAGACACGTGAAAAACTGACGTGTTAGTGACTATATCTAACTGTGAACACATGGTATTCTTCAAACACCACAAGGCACATCTAATAGGAATTCTAGTATAGAGTACAAGATTCATCTGTGCATAGTCTTTGACCAATTCCCATCAACTTCAAATATCTGTCTTCCTTTTTCTAAGGACTACAAGATCAAGTACAGGCTGCAGATCTTCAATAAACTATTGAGAACAAAAAGTACATAAAAAAATTAAATATGTAAGTAGATTTTAAATGGCCTATTAGGAAGTAGAGGAGATAAGAATCATGATCTTCTTCTTCTTTCCAGTGTAATGGATTAAAATAACTGTTAACAGCTGTAGGAATGTTATATCCCTAGATCTTAAAACCAGTCATTAGTATTCAGGTGTATGTAGATTTCACACCAAAAAGCCTTCCTGGTATACAGGAGTGCACTAAGAACATGTACACAGCCGCACAGTTATGCAAAGAGCCTTTCACAGATTCTTTCTATCACAATAAAATGCCTGCATTACAAAGATTAGTGAAATAAGTGGTGATCTGTGAAATGCTGAAACAAATACGACTTCTTAATCTTTCTCTCCACTATTGATAACCAAAATATCCTACAAGAATCCAAATAGAGACAAGCCTCTCATACTACAGAGAAACTAGGTTAAAACACAGTGACTCAGAACAGAGATGTCAAGTGGTTTGCTTGAATTTTAATGTGTAAACCTATGGGTTAAGGAAATTTAGAATGAAAGCTGTCAAGGGCCTAACCCTTGAACAACCCCAAAGCACTGAATTCCCACTGAAATAAACAAGCGTCAGTTACATACTTAGACCTAGCAACACAGGTCTAACCACACAAATATTTCCATTTTTATCAATTCCTTAACTAGAAAAATCACCTGCCATTCCCTAGTACCCGGTTACTGTTCCATCAAATGGGGATTTATTTATTGCAAAATAAAATCATCTAACACCACTAGCACTGAACCAGCACAGTGTATGTCAACAGCCTATGCACACAGAAAAATATAAAAACAGACCATTAGTGAACAATTTTCTAACTAAATTTGAACCTTGCTCATGGAGACTGGCAAAATATATACTGAAGACCAGGTGCCCACCACACCAGAATAAAAGGTTTCATACATAGCAAGCTTGATTGAGAACAAGTTTAATACTGAAAAAAGGAGACTTGTTCCTTGTGTTAATACTGCCAGAGTGCAGTGCATAATATATGTGCATTTAGATGTTTAAAATTGCATGAGAAAGAGGATGATAAAGTGGTAATAATCACGATTGCTCTAACACCCTTTCAAATTCTAAGTATTCACAGCTTATGTACTGAAATAGTAAAATATGCACATCTGTGCATCTACAAATCCCTGCAAGTGCATCGCTGTAAGAAAACGTTAAATCTAGAGCAAAAACACGGTGTGTGACTGCAGATAGAAATTTCAGAAAACACCATCGACACGGACTTTTCGCAGGACAGACTTCTTTCCGAGTGCTCGGTGCCGAGGATGCGTTTCCCGGTGGGAGGCACCCGCCTGTCCCTCACCGCGGGCCGGTCACGGAGGGGCAGCGCCTCGGGGCTCGCCCGCGGGCCGTGCGCGGTGCTCGGCGCTGCCGCCCAGGAGCCGGCGGGGGTTGGAAGCGCCGCCTCCCCTCGCAGTGCGCGGCGGGTGCGCGGTCGGCCCGCGGCTCCCCGCGCCCGGACGGCGGGGCCGGGCCGCTGTCCCGCGGCCGCCGGGGCGGCCTCGGGCGGCGGGGCACCTGTTTGAGGATCCGCGCGGGATCGTGCAAAGCAGAGGGCGGCGCGTTCGCGGTGGGGCGAAGAAGCGGGGCACATCCTCGGGATAGCCGGGAAGGGAGGGCTGCGCGGAGCTCCGGCGCTCGGAGGGGCGTGGAGGAGAGACACGAGGGCACACGCGTGTGGCGGGGCGGCGGGACAGAGTGAGGGGTGCCGGCACTGCCGAGGCAGCGCCTCAAACTCGTCCTCGCCCCTACGTTCGCCTGGGCTGCGCGGGGACCCGCGGCCATCGTGGGTGGGATACCCGCGCCCCCACCGCTGCCCGCCGCGGAGGAGCCGGCTGGCCAGAGCGCACCTTACCTCGAAGAGGGGACCGATCTTATTCTTCTCCAGGTAGGCTTGGATCCTCGTCTGCTGGTGAGACGCCATGAAGAGCTCCGGGGGCGGGGGCTTGAGCTCGTCTCCCCCGGCGGCGGCTGCAGTCCCTCCGGCTGCTGGCGGCTCACTCCTCCGCTGCACAAGGGCTGCCACAGCGGGAGAGGGCGGAGGCGCTGCCAAAGTGCCCGGGACGGAGCTAACTCAGGTAACTGGGGGCGGGGGAAAGGAGCCGGCTGCCGGTCGCCCGCTGAAGCCGGGCGCGGGGCTGGCCGCCCTCAAGGAGCAGCGAGCGGGCGCTGCCTGGAGCGGAGCATGGTGCAGTGAGCGGAGGAGCTGCAAAGGCGGCCCCCGAGCCCGCGCCGCTCCGCGCTGCGTGTGTCTGTCAGTCCGTCTCTCTCTGTGTTTCTGTGCCAGGCAGCGCCTTGGCGACGGGAGCGGCCGCGGCTCAGCGCTGCCGCCCTCGGCACAGCGCCGAGGCCGATAGCCGCGGGCTCCTGTCAGCTCCGCGGCCGCCGGCGCCCGTTGACGCCCGGGCTCGGCGCACAAAAGGCGGGAGCGGGGGAAGGGGGAGGAGAGCGGGCGGGAGGCGGGGGCTGCTGTGCCGCCGCCGCTCCCCTGCCCGCCCGGCGACGGGCTTGCCCCCGGTGGAGCCGCAGCCCCCGCTCCCCGCCGGCGCTTGCGGGGTCCCCACCTGGCTCCGGTCCCTCGGGCGGGGTGAGCGCCGCGGGCCGCCCGGCGTGAGGCACCTGAGCGGCACGGGAAAACTTCGGCTGGGGGAAGGTCGCGGAGGAGTGGAACGAGTCGCGCTGCCAGCAGGGAAGGGGGATGCAATGACTGCAGCCAGGGCTTTTCCATAATTTCTGTTTAAATTATCTTTAAATCTTAAAATGCTACCTTTCTTATGATGCCAATGAAATTACCAATTAGGTACAATGAGCATCGTAATGGGATAATTGGAGTAGCTATGTAGGTGCGTCCTGGTCGCAGGTTGTGTTGAGTTCCAGCAAGCAGCCAAGGGCGCGATGGAGCAAGTAAAAAATATTAAGCCGGCTTCAGAGAGTACTGAGTTAATGGGTGCATCAAAGAATCAGTGTTTATTCTGTCTTCAAGTAACTAGTATCCCACCATTTCTGGAAGCAGGATCATAACCAGCTTTTTTTTATTTTTTTCCCCTCTCTCTGTTTAGAGAAGTAAAAAACATGCTTCTTGGGGTTTGACACTTCTGTTCTTCTGCAGTAACTGATTTTGGTGTACTAACATTAACCTGTTTGGTAATAAGGATTTTTTTAAATACACAAAACAGCTTTCAAGACTATTGGGAACATTCAGCACATCTGCTGAATCAGGCTGCCTCTTCCCAATCAAGCAGTGTTCTGCAAATGCGAGAGTACAAGCGTCTCCTGATTCAGAAACCGCTAAAGAAAAAGATTAATTTTGTCAGGAGTCAAAGATCCTGAGTTCTGCTCCCATAGCCATTGACTCTTGTTTGACTTCAAAATCCTCTGTACTGACCTAAACCTCAAGCCTCTACCTAGAAGGAGGTCAAGTGTAAGTTGTATTACAAAGAGCCTGCAGCGCATCCTGTAGTGTAAGCAATAGCATGTAGAATTCTTTAATGGTTTGCTGGAATGTGCTCATCCCAGACTTACTGAGACAGTGTTTGTTTCCATAGTAGTCACTTAAAAATGGCACATTTTTTTAATTTGGATTCTCAGTGGGTAGTCTTCTAAAATTCATATAACTCAAGAGTTCTAGCATATCTTCTTCAGCAAAATATTGCCTGGTGCCACCTAAATAATATGGTGCTAAGCTACTTTAATCAGCTTAATGAAGATCATACAATCATAAGGGTAATTGCCAGTGATGCAGGTTCTCTACAGTGGCTCTAATGATTCCCATCAGATGAGAATGTTTGTAAAATTTCATAAATCTTACCCGAATCCAGACTGTTCCAATGAGTAAAAGTCTCCCACTTTGTAAAATGATGCCCCCACATGATGCAAAAATGAGAGCTTATGTTTCTATAACCCTACACAGCCTGACTTCTCAAAGCAGCAGCACGTCCAGACCTGCTGAGATATGGCCATTTCAGAACCCGCAAACTGTCACTGCTCTGTGGAGACCAGGAAGAGGACAGAAGAAAAGGAACAAGACTGTCAGCAATATGAGACAGAATGAATAGAAAAGATAATTTATTAAAAGAGGTTTTAAAGATAGCATAAATGTCTGTGGTTACATATTTTACAATTAGATAGATGCCAAGATCTCACTTTTAAAACCTCAGAGTTTTGAGAATTTCTGCATTCAGTTAGTTTTTTCTTTCCTCCCAGTGAATGACAGAATGGTTGAGGTTGGAAGGGACTGGTTCAATCCCCCTGCTACATCAGACTTACTTGCAGCTCATTGCCCAGCCCTGTGTTCAGATGACTTTTGATTATCTACCAAGGATGCTGGATTGTTTTTTGGTGTCCGTTGTCATTCTTGCTTCCTTTTTCCCTAGACCATTTTTCCTTCTCTTAATTCTCACCCAGACATATAATCTAGATTTTCCAGTTGGCTTGGGAGACACAGTAGCAGTCCTGCTGTGGCTGGGAAAGCTTCCAAGGCCAAATGTAGAATTAGCTTTCTAAATAGACACATCTTGCAACCCCCACAGCTCCCATGAGAGTTAGTGACAGGTTATCCTTTGATATGGATTAGGTACTTTGGGGAGATAAGAACACAGACAGTTCTTTACCACGAGCTTCATGCTGCTGTTACCTAGTTGAAGGTCTGCAGCAGTTCCCTGCAGTAAAGCTTTCTGAGTGCTAAAATACGGGAGTTCAGGTGTCTCCTGCAGAGAGCATAGGCTGAGTGACATGGTATAATAGGAAAAGGAGCTTCACTCATAGCACTCTTTTCTCTTTTTTTCCAAGCACAAAAACTGTTGCTAGGTTTACGACAAACCACACCAAAATAGCAATCAATAAATACATGTGATTTGCAAATAAGCACAGAAAGCTGGATATGTCCCTGTTGTCCTCTTAGTTGTTAGGAGAAAAACATTTTCAAATTTTAATTAAGATATTCTAAGTTTTTAAAACTGGTATTAATACAGTCTTTTAAAATTAACTTTCATCTTCATGCCAAAGGGAAAAAACTCTTGGATTAAAATTACTGGTTTAGGCATGCTTGAATTTTTTATTACTTTTAGCAACCTTTTTGTATGAGCAACTGAACACTAAGTTATTTTACAACCTAAGTAATAAAATATAGTCTCTGTATTGCACTTTGCTATGGTCCTGTTTAATTTCATGGATATTTTTCTTTCAGGAGCAGTATACAGCATGCACATCTACATAACACTCAGCAGTGAACTGCAAGAACAGAAACGACTGAAAGAATTTGCACACAGGCACCAAAAAATGAAGAGTATCCCAAATAAAAAATATATTCCCCTCACAAAACAAGATTCCCAAAAAACAAGGAGAAAGAGTCAAAAGAACAGGGCTATTTTTAAGATGCTCGTGACCACACTCTATTCAGTTTTTATCCTGTGTCTATGATACCTGAGCTCCCTGCTTCTTACCATTGTTATGTTGGTGGGTTTCTCACCTTGCAATCTTTTCTTCAAGAGAACGGTGTGCATTTCTGATAAGTCGTTTCCGGTTTGACTTACTTAGTTCAAGGACTTTGCTAGAGTAGGGACCCATTAAATAATTCCATGGTAGTCTACATCACTACAGTCCAGCCATCAGTTTTTCAGTTTTTCAAGTTTGCTACAGTTCCAATGCTGAGCACTGAATTTTCTAAGTTACAGTCAGTTGCAGTACCCATTCATCATTGCCAGAGTTAAGTTACTCAGGCTTCACATGCAAAGGTGTTCTTCAGGAGTCAGAGCTGCCACTGCCTAGCAGAAAAGGAAACTGATGACTTGGCTGGCTGTAAAAGTACTTTGTGGGTCACAAATACCAAGTGCCAAGTCAACAATTTTTTTTCTCTTCTGGCTAAAATTTGATCCATATGCTCTGTACAAAGTTTATTTTTTGAGATGGCATTTGGAGTACAAAAGAGACATTACAATCTAAGAGAAATATAGTGGCAATATATGAATTTATTACAAACCTTTAAATGGCTTTCTAGTTCCCACTAAGTGCTGTATGTTTCAGCTATCAAAAAGTCATCAGAAATTCCTTAACAAACCTTTCAAAAACAATTACAGAGAAGAGAAAATGTAACAGGCACATCAAAAGAGGTGGTATTCATCAAAACCTGGTGATGTCTTCCTTAGAAAGCTTCCTGTTTTGTCAGTGTTTCCTTTCATGTAATAATTCTACAACAAAGAATTCTTCCATTACTGTGATTGTTTCTATTGAGTTTGATATTCTATGCAAAGTCATTATCTGCTTCATGAAGAACTATGAGCCATTAGTCAACAACTGACTAAATGCAGTTCTTAAAGTATCCTTGTACTGTAAAAAAAAAGGAACTGAAGTTACATCCAGGAGAACAAAATCCCTGAGTTCCTGCACTTTATAAATGAAACATTATTTTTTATTGCCAAAGCATAGCCTTAGAACATTACAAATGCCTGTTGTAAAATTTTCTGGAAAAGCACACATGCACACACACACACACTGGCTAAATATTGCAGTGCTCCAAGCTGTTTAAAATAATGAAGGTCTAGCAGTTCCTGACCTAGAAAGCTGTCATCTTGCTTTTTATTTAGCATTCCCCTAAAAATGTATCTGCTTGGATAGCATGTCCTCAAAAGAAATTGAAGCATCTTACTGTATTATGCTGAAATATCCAATTTACCTTTTATCCCATATCAAGTTAACTAACAGAATTGGGAATAACATCACTGGAGGGCTGTTTTTGTCCACTTAATTTTATCTGGTGTGGTTTTCTTAAATGTACTCAGTAAATGATAATATATCCAAAAGCTTGAATTCAAGCAACATCAAATATCTTTTGTTTGGTTTTCTATTCACACCAAGATAGCAGCCATGCAACTTCAAAATCTGGACTTGACCCAAACTTATTGTAAAGAGCAAGAATTTCTTTGCATCTGCATTCTCATAGAGAATTTAACCTGTGTTTTGGATATTTTGTCCTTTATACATTGTGATCTTTACCACAAAGCCTCTGTGGTAGACTTATTCTCTGCAGGGCAGGAGCCCTTGGGAACTTGAAAGTTTGCATTATCCTCAGGCTTTCAATAAGGACAAGAACAAATCACTGTAAAATCCAAGATTCATAAACCTCCCACTGTGCTTAAGGAGGATGAGTGTCTACCTCTTTGACTCCTCTTATTTTCAGATTTATTCTGTAGTTTGTTTTCGTGTATAATGTTCACTTTCCTGCTTCCAATGATTTGTTCAGGAATGCTCTCATCCTATTCAAAAAAGAAAAATTCCATTGTCAACCTGAAGAATCTAGCTCATATCATATTAGCAATCCAACCATTAATAGAAATCACTACTCTTTCAAGACTTTAGTGCAGCTTATGATGATTTTTAGCATCTTTATGGTTGTTTTCTTTCTGTTTGGCTACACATTAACATAAAGCGTAAGTAGAAGTAGCAGTACTTATGAGAATATTTGTAATAGAGTTGGCTGTATATATTAAATACATTTCAATGACAAATATGCTCTGAGAATTTACTCTTATTTGCAGTATGGAAGATAGGCAGATAGGCTGTATTCAGAATCCATCTGCAAAGCAGAACTCTTGGTACGCTCCTGGTGATGGATTGGCCAGGTTCATATTCAACTTCACTGACACCCAGGGACTAAAGTAATTAAATAAAAGACTTGCAATGTGAATTGACAGTTACATTCTTCTTCCTTTCTGAGGGATAAAACCATTAATTTAATTCCTTGGTAGTGACTAAGAACATAAAATTTCAACCCTTCAAAAACTGTTCCTTTCCCCTCTTTCTTTATCACTGCCAGAGCACAGACCATTTTTCTGTGCACTATTGACATTCTGATAGTGTGGATGGCAGCAGGAACTGAACCAAAACTTTTTGGCATGTCCTGCTGTTCCAAGAGTCTGATCTAGTCCTTCTAGCCCTCGACTAGTAACTAATACTATGCAGACTAGCCACTAGAGGGGAATAAAGAATCATACTGTTCTAACATAGGTTACTGCATCACAAACTACTTTGCAGGGACATCTCAGCCATGGCCAGGAACAAGTGCTGTATCTGACTCAGCTGGCAATGCTGCTTCATGCTGCAGCCTTTACATTTGCATTCAGACAGCAAGTTCACTTAAGGGTCTTTAAACCTATAATATGTTTGTACACTCACTGCATAATTATTATAAATGTTTGTACTGCTTACTGTATCCTAATTACTTGCAGTGGTAAAGTTTTGTAGGCTCTGAACCACCAAACATTTCAGCATGTTTTATTAGCTAAAAATATATATCCAATTTAGGTTTTTCAGGTGCTACAGATAAACATAGATGATGGTGTTTTCAAGGGCAGGGAGGTATGGCCATCAGAGATCAGTCACAGCTAACAAGTCTAGGAGGACTATCAAGCCTTAGATGCCTGTAAGACCCTCATTTGGGAAGCTACTGAAAGCAGGTAATGGTACTAAAGCTGCTGAATAGTGAGTGAATGGTGTAGAAACCAATCTAAATAGTGGAAGTTTAGTGCAGCTGATTTTAAGGTGGTTGAGTTAGATTTTGTCTACACAACTTCGACTTCTCTGCTCTAAACAATGCAAGTTAAGACCGGTAAAGAATTCTTATTGTTCATCAGGAATCCCCAAAACATACAGGATTACAGGATTATGTTAAATGAGCATACCAGTAATGTCATTTTCCAACACTTAAAAACAAAACAAATGAAGCCATTCTAATCCAAAATCAGGAAGAGACACCTTGAAATAAATTTTAAACCTTTAAATTTCACAGTTTCAAGACCTGCGAACTCCCCTTCTCTCCTGCCCACAGTCCTGACACAGAGCTGTGATCTCTAGTAACTCTTTCTTTGGATAATAAAGGCAAAGATTCTGCTGTAGCCATTTTATTGCAGGAAGTAGAGTTAGAAAAAAAAAACACAAACAAACAACAAAAAAAAAAAAAAAAAGAAAAAAAA